CCAATATTCCCCTATATGATTTATAATAAATAATAGATAATTTCTGGAAAATAATTTTGTATAATAAAATGATTTAAAATATATATTTAATATTTAAAAATATAGAAGATCAGTTTTATGCATATAAATGTAATTATACATTAATAAGGCTAATATTGCAATTATATGCACTTTAGCTTTAAAAATGCAAAATGCAATTATAAAAAGTTACTAAAAATAGTTTAACAATATTTTGGCATAAATATAGAGTTTAAATGACTAAATTACCCAATAAATAATTTGAGAGATAATTATTGGTGATTTTTTGAGTAAAAGGGGAGGAAATAAATCAATTAAAAATCTTTAAAATTATAGGAAAATTATAAAAACCTTATGCATGATTATATATGCATATATATGCTATTTTGAAGGTATTTATGCATATAAAGAATATAGAAAAAAATTGGGTATCAACACCTATAAAGGTAAGCTAGAACAGCTCCACCTCGGATATAATTAGGTAACTTATCTAGCCACTCTAGATGATGTAGCTAACTAGGTTTCCCGAAGTGTTCGGGAACAGAATACCACCAAACATCATCAGCAACGACAGCCACGTTTGCCGGTCGATAGCCTCTAGTGGTGAGTAATCAGTAATCTCTGCGTGCAGCAGCACCAGATACTTCCTAATGGGCATCAGCTGCAATCGACTGGCACCACTCAAAACAGTCAGCTTCGCAGGCTGGAGACCGGTGAACCTCTGCAACATATTTAGATAGTCGTCTCCCGTATAGTGAATAAGAGCATGCGGGTAGCTGACATCCATACCATCAACGGGCAAACCGAATAGAACCTTCGCGTCCTCTAGCGTGATAGTAGCCTCGTTGATAGGTAGATGAAATGTGTGTGTCTCCGGTCGGCACCGCTCTATCATAGCCGTGATCAGGGGCCAGTCAAATTGAAATCAGCCGATGTCTATAATCCAGTAAAACCCCGTCCGCTGAAGGCGTCTAACTGTACGGGAATGAAGTGGGTGGTCTCTAATGAACTCCCAAAGATCGTCTATTTGTCTAGGGTAGAAGGCCTGGGACAGACATTATCCATCCCAGATGTGTAAAAACCTATAGCCACCCTGGAGCAATAGTAGCTGTCGAACAGTAGGTCCAGGATACACAGAGGGAACCTCCATCACGATGTTTGTAAATTGATTAATATTAATTAAAGTATTTTTTTTGTTTAATCGTTTAACATATTTAAATATATCGGAATATTTTTTATATTAATATTTAATCNGATGTCTGTAAATTGATTAATATTAATTAAAGTATTTTTTGTTTAATCGTTTAACGTCTTTAAATATATCGTGATATTTTTTATATTAATATTTAATCGATAAATTTTCTATATTATTACTTAGGGTGATAAATTTTTATATTATTATTTTATATGTTAATTTCTTACATTTTTTACTAAAATTCGGTAGGGTTTTGTTTGAACTATCATCTTTTTTAGATATTTTTAAGTTATAAGAGAATTAAATATTTAATTTTCATAACTAGTCATGATATATTAAATAATTATTCATATAAAAATACTTAGGTTGATAAATTTTCTATGCTATTATTTTACATGTTAGTTTCTTATGTTTTTTGACTAAAATTCGGTAGGGTTTTGTTTGAACTATTATCTACTTTTTAGATATTTTGGGGTTATAAGAGAATTAAATACTTAATTTCCATAACTAATAATATATTTTAGTAATTATTCATATAACAAATACTTAGTTTGATAAATTTTCTGTATTAATATTTTATATGTTAGTTTTTTTTACATTTTTGACTAAAGTTCTATAGGGTTTTGTGTGAACTAACCACTTTTTTCAGATTTTTTGGGTTATAACTGAATTAAATATTTCATTTTCATAAATAATCAAGATATTTTTAAAACTTATTCATATAAAAAAAATACTACAAACTTAATACTAAATAATATTCAATTTATTTCATTCGTAACGATTTGTTTATTAACTTTTACATTTTGCCCAAAAATCTGGCAGCATCTCTTTTGTAATGTCAATAAATTATTTTATAATTCATATCTAATATTTGATAATTATCTATTAATACATTAAATTCATAATTGAATACTCTAACCGAGTTAGTTAATGAAGGCACGTAGTTTTTATTGTAGACTAAAGAATCATAAAGAGCACTACAGTCACATCACTCTAAGTGGCCATATACAACATCAACTAACATAAACCAAAATTTATTATCTGTTTTACTATGCTAAAGTGTACTACATAACAATAAAAGGCACAGCATAACACTAAAGGGCACTAAACAACAATAAAAAGACATATTATTATATGTATAATACTAAAGTCACATATAACACTAATGTAACGACCCGGCCGGTCATTTCATGAGTTACCACTCTGTTTTCCCAATTTCTTCTTCTTATTGCCTTGTTCAACTGTATTTTTGTGTTACAGGGTTGGTTGGCTCGGGTTCAGAGAGGTTTTGGTAAGGTTTGAGACACTTAGTCTCTTTTGAATGAACTTAAGTTGGAAAAGTCAATCGGATATTGATTTATGTGTTAAAGGGATCGGATGTGAGTTTCGATGATTCGGATAACTTCGGAAGGTTATTTGGGACTTATGAGTGTGATCGGAATGTATTTAGGAGGTCCGAAGTAGATTTAGGCTTGAATTGGCGAAATTGAAATTTTGGCATTTTCCGGCTGATAGGTGAGATTTTGATATAGGGGTCGGAATGGAATTCCGAAAGTTGTAGTAGGTCCGTCGTGTCATTTGGGATGTGTGTGCAAAATTTCAGGTAATTCGGACGTGGTTTGATAGACTTTTTGATCGAAAGCGGAATGTAAAAGATTTTGGAATTCTTAGGCTTAAATCCGATGCGAATTTCATGTTTTGATGTTGTTTTGAGTATTCTGAATGTTGGAAAAAGTTTGAATGATGTTATCGAATATGTTGTCATGTTTGGTTGAGGTCCCGAGGGCCTCGGGTGAGTTTCGGGTGGTTAAACGGATGAAATTGCATGTTGAGAAGTTGCAGATTTTTGGGCTTCAGCTGTTGCAGGTTTTCCTTCTTCGCGATCGCGTAGGGAGTCTCACGATCGCGTAGAGCTTTGATGGGGGCAGTTCAGGTTGTGCTTCGCGATCGCGTAAATTGAGTTGCGATCGCGTTAGTTGGGCAAGTTATGAATCGCGAGCGCGTGGCTCTAGTCGCGTTCGCGTAGGTGTAAGGTCCTGTGCATCGCATTCGTATGGGTATATCCGCATTCCCGTAGAGGAAATTTGGGGTCTGGGAAGCTTGTGCTTCGCGATCGCGATGAAGGTCCCGCGATCGCGATTAAGGAAATTTAATAGCTGGGCAGAATGTTTAAAAACGCTATTTCCGCGATTTTGAACCTATGTTCCTCCATTTTTGGGTGATGTTGAAGCTTTTTGAAGGGGATTGAAAAGGGAATCAAGAGGAACACTTGGAGGTAATATTTATGGACTTAATACTCAATTCAAATGTATTTTCTACCAAATTAATCATGGAATTTAAGCCTGATATTGAAGAACTAAGGCTTGTAATTGGAGACCTAAAATTGGGGATTTGAGGGATCATTTGAGGTTGGATTTTGATGCTTTGATATGAATGAACTCGGGGAGTGATAAGGAGTCTATTGATGTAATTTTTATCGGATTCCGAGACGTGGGCCCGAGATCAGGTTTGGCCAATTTCGGGAATTGTGTTGTAATTTGATTTCTTTCGAGGGCTTTGTTCCCTTAGCATATTATGATGGTTTTGAACTAATTTTGGTTAGATTTGGAGCATTTGGAGGCCGATTCGAGAGGCAAAGGCATCGCAGGCTAGAGATTGGACCGAATAAAGGTGAGTAATGATTGTAAATGTTATCTTGAGGGTATGAAACCTCGAATTTCACATTGTTATGCTATATTGAAGTGAAGCACACGCTAGATGACGAGTGTGGGGTCGTACACCGTTAGAGATTGTGACTTAGTCCATCCTGAATGACTGTTTTACCGCGTATTTGATGGAAAACTGTTTGCTATCATCTTGTTTTGGGCTGAATGCCATATTTAGGCCTCATGCCAACTATTTGGACCCTTATAGGATTTTTACTGCTATTTCCTCATTGTTTTAATTTTATATCTTTACTCAGTCATGCTATATTAGACTGCTTTCATAACTTAGCCATGTTTACTCTATTTTAACACTTTAAATGATATTTTAAGCTAAGCATCATATTTTAATGTGCCCAAGTGGCTTTTAGAGATTTCTGACTGAGTACGGCTGAGGGCATGTGTTGTGAGTATTGTTATGGGATCAGGCTACACGCCGCAGCAGTGTTGTACTAATTATGATTATGAGGCCGAGGGCCTGAGTTGTACACCATAAGGTGGCTTGATATGAGGCCGAGAGCCTATTGATTATGCCTCGAGATGGCTTGATATTGTGCTTGGGCCATAAGGGGCCCCTCCCAGAGTCTGTACANGATTATGCCATGAGATGGCTTGATATTGCGCTTGGGTCGTAAGGTGCCCCTCCCGAAGTCTGTACACTCCCAGTGAGCGCGGGTACCCATTGTGATATGTAACTCCATATGTCTATCCGAACAAGGATCTGAACTTTCCATCAAAGTCTAAGCTATTATATTACAAAATTAAAGCACAGTATTGATCTTAACAATGATATTTGGTAGGTAGTGTCCTGTTTCACTCTTGAATTTCACTAAAAATCAAAGTGCAAACACACAACGAAGAAAATGTTTCATTCAAACATTAACAACGATGAAATATGAAAATCTAAGATGAAACGAGGTGAGAACCAGACCTTTACTTGAGAGCCAACGATTCCAGTACACAAGGATTCGAAATAAGTATAGAGCAGAAAAATGAAACTTGAATCGAAGCAGGGACCTGATACTGCAGCGAACTACAAACCTCACCGGCAACCGCAAATGCGAACTCCGATAAACCTCACTCGCATATAGCAGGTAACGCGTCGAGTTCCTAGTCAGATTTCGGATTGAAATAATGATGTTTTGGATTTGTTTGGCTGAAGTTTTTTAGGAATGGAGAAGAAGATCGGTGTGGCTGCTATCTCTTTCTTTTTTCGGTGAGCTTAGGCGACGGAGATGGGTCTGGTGAGAAGGGATGTCGCCGATGGTTTTGGAGAAGGGATAAGAGAGAGTTGTTCTGGTATGTCGCGTTGGAAGCTCAGGGATTTTTCATTTGTGTAGAAGAAAGGGCTGTGATGAAAATGGCTCTCTATCCCTTAGGGATCTGTTGTTCTTTTTTTAAGAAGAAGGAAGATGACCTATCTGGTTTTGTGTGTTCTCTATCTAAGAAGAAGGGGTTCAGATAGGGGTGGTGGTCTATTCTCTTGTAACACGGCGGATTCTCCAGTCTAGGGGTGTAGGCCTTATGTTTTAATTGAAGGGGAAGGGAAATGGGTATTGGGCTTTGGGTTTGAAGGGATTCGGGTCATGAATTTGGACTAATTAACTTTGGGGTACGACGACTAAATCAATTTTTTTTTATTTTTCTTTGATTTTAAAATCTAATAAAATCCTAAATTAATCCTAAATCAATCTAATTTGTAAAATTAAAATTGGTTATCTATTAGAACAACTAATTAACTTAAAACTAAATAAAAACACTACTTTCTAAAGAGTAATAGCTAAATATGTAAAATGATCATTTTTTGTGATTTTTGTAAATAAAATTAATTCCTACATGCAAATTGGATCTAAGATGACATGAAATTAAAATGTGATATTTTTTATGATTTTTCTATGATTTTAAAATATTAAAAATGCATGACATGCAACAAAATAAAAAAAACTTCTAAAGTCCCTTAAAATCATTTTTAGTTTATTTTTAGGAGTTTTTTTCACG